GAGCCCTGGCCTATCGCTTGATCAACCTAGAGGCACAGAGAATGATTTACGCGTTTCGTTATGGACATTCACGGCGCTTATAGTCACCAGTAATATCTTGTGATTTACATGATCATTAGACTTTAATAAGATGTAAATGTGGAAAATTGGTGTTTTATCTTTTGATTTGATTTTGGATTAGATAAGTAATTTATCAAATATTCAGATTTTTAAAGTACGTGAACATTTAGACGTATCACTGTGTAGAAAAAAAAAGAATGAGAATGAATATCTTCCCAAGACAAGATATACAAGATATTCATTCTCACTCATACCTTTTTCTACATCAGCCAACATGAATACGTCACATCACTTTATCATAGAAATACGTGTATATTTATCATAGAAATACGTGTATAACCGTTCGGAAATCCTATAGATGTAGCTATAATGACAAGTCTAAAGATGACTCTATACATGCTTCCAGATCCTTTGCTGATGACAGATGGTCCGAGTACCTGATAAATGACAGTCGATGAAAGTAGATGGGAGATGTGAGTAATTACTAGCATTACTCTTACTCTGCTCTTTTCGTTAAACATAAGACAAGTTTATTTCCTGTGTTTTTTTTTCCCTAATTATTCATTATGTTTATTATTAACATTATCATCATTATTATCATTATTATTGTCATCATCATCATCATTTTCATCATTTTTCATCATTATTATCATTGTTATTATTATCATTAATATTATTATCATTATCATTACATTATCATTTTCAATATCATCATTATCATTATTATCAATATCATTATTATAATTATTTTCAATATTGTTATTAATATCATTATCATTATTACTTCCGCCAAGGTTTTGTTTTCAGTAGCGTTGGTTAGTTTGTTGGTTAGTTGGTGAGCAAGATAAATAAAAAAATTATGAACAGATTTTTATGGAATTTTTACTTACGATGCGATTTAATTTTTGTGATGAATTAGATCATGATCCAGATCCAGGATTTTTTTTTTTAAAGGATTCATTAGCATTGCAAGATTAGGAAACACGGACGTCACCAGTGTACTTGAAAAAGAAGTATTTTTAATGTAATTCTTTGTGTGAATATTTTATTGCATCGGTGACCCTGTTGCCTTGGCGGAGGTATGCGCTCACTGAGTACTTCTAGTTGTTGTGATTATTGTTATTATTACCTTTATTATCATCATGGATGTCATCATTATCTTCATCTCTATCGTCATTTTGTTAGTATTATTGTTATTATTATTATTACTATCATTGGTGTTATCATTATTATTGTTAGTACCATCATTATCATTATCATCATTGTTATCATTATTGTTTTCGTCATCATCATTATTGTTATTATCATCATTGTTGTTATTGTCTGTTATCATTACTGTCATCATTATCATTATCTATAATCATTATCAGTTACTATTATTATTATTACTATTTCTGCTATTGTTATCACTCATTGTTATTTTACTATCATTATCATTGTTGTTATTATCATTATTATTGTCATCATCACTCTTATTGTTATTACCAGTGATGATCAATATCATTACTATTATTGCTCTCATTATTATCAATATCATGATCATAATAATCACTGCCATCATTATTACCATCACTTTTATTGCTATTGTTATCATCACTACTATCATTACTATTTTTACTTTTTAATCATTATTGTCATTATCATTGATATTATCATTATCACTTTCATCATTATTTCTATTTTTATCATTACCCTTATCATCATCGTTATCATTGTTTTATTAGTATTATCATTATTGTTATTATCATCCTTTTTATTATCATCTTCTCATTATTATTATTAGTTTATTATCTTTATTATCATTAACATCATTATCTTTATTATGATTATCCTCGTTATCATTATCATTATCATTATTATTATTATTATCATTATTACCATTGTTATCATTACTATCATTATTATGATTATTTTTTATGATTATTGTAGAAAAGGTATGAATGAGACTGGATATCTTCACAATACAAGAGATGTATTTGACCGGTTTCGATTACGTCTTCATCAGAAATACATGTATTTCTGATGAAGACGTAATCGAAACCGGTCAAATACATCTCTTGTATTGTGAAGATATCCAATCTCATTCATACCTTTTCTACATTTGTCAACATGGATACGGTTCATGTTATGATGATCATAATTATCACTTTTACTATCATTATTATAGTTATCATTGGCAACATTATGATTTTCATCCTTGATTTGTAATCATTATTATCCTCATTGATATTACTATCATTATAATTATTTTTTAAAGATATGTATGTTGTGGTATTATCAATATTATCACCATTCTGCTTATCATTTTTATTATCATTATTATCCTCATAGTTATCATCTTTATCATCATCATCATGACTATCATTGTCATTGTTGTCACTATCATCCAAAAATAAAAATACGAAATTTAAACTATAAACGTTTTTTATTAAATATCCATCAATCCCATGTAAATATGCCGAAAAAACAGTAACATATAATGAATATCTTTGTATCTGTGGTTGTTTTCCTGACAGTGGAGCTGCTAGGTAAAAACAAAAGATAGAAAAAGAAACAAAGAAAAAAAAAATATATATCTATATAGATGTGTGTCTGTGTTTATATATACATATACATACATACATACATACACACACACACGCACACACACACACACACAGACCCACACACCATATACACACACATATATATAATATATATGTATATATATATATATATGTATATATATATGTTATATATGTATGTATGTATATATATATATATGTATATATATTGTTATATATGCATATATATGTATAGTGCGTGTGTTTGTGTGTGGCGTGTGTGTTACGGTTTACAACTATATAATACCGTCACATCGCACAGACAAGAGATATCGTTGCCGCCACACACCTCTAAAGACAAGTGCTTCCAAAGAAACATTTATATTTTATTTATATGTGTCTTCTGTAATATTACGTCTTCTATTGTAATATATAAACTACCTACGTACAGCGTGATTTAGCATAAGTCGGCTTCCCTAGCACCACGATAGTTCAATTGTTTATGTTCCTATGATAACAATAGCAGGTAGGAGGTACCCTCTTTTCATGCTAGCATGGTCTCATAAAGGTCTTTATATTGCCCCTATTATCTAGCGTAATAAACACCTAAATCGGTGCCCCGCGATAGACATACTTTGCCAATTTATTCTGTCTACCTTTCATTTTTTTTTCTCTCTGTTGTCTCTGCTCGCTCTTCGGTTTGAAAGGTTAACTATGTAACTTTCACTGAATACGCAAGGAACAAGAGACTCTACGTCGTCCAGCACTGTCTTGATATCTGATTGTGCTATGCACAATACGTCGCTTATGAATTACCCTTCATCATCTATCACTGTCGTTATTTTATTATTAAGTGCTTTCAATGATACTTATTATCATTTACTTTATATTATTCATCCTTGTTGATTATTTATTATCTTTTATTTATCCTAACTATTTTATGTACTGTATTAAACTTTCCTTTTATTTTTCATACCCTATATCATACTATTCTTGATTATTACCCAGCAGATCATAATATTCTAAAGAAGGATGATTTATTTTATTTCTGGAATAACAACGAAACGTAGAATGATCTAGCAGCAAATAAAGGAATGATATTGAATTTGAGAGAGAAAGAAAGAAAAAATTAAATCAATAAATCAAGAGAGAAAACAAACTCGTACAATAGTTTTTATTCGTAATTACTCATCAAACACTGTTTCGAACACAACGACTTTTCAACACGACAACACGACGAACGGTCATCGAATCGTCCACGTGGTTGAAAAGTACACAGAACTCTATGTTTTTTTTTCACACACACACGATTTTTCGCCGTCCACCTTGACCGCGCACGACGAAGGGCTTTACATATAAAACCTTGGCGTCGTCGCTGGAGAGAAGTCGACGAAAGAATCCGTAAATATCGAAGACATTAGGCGAATCGAAGGGCGAAGCGATCGAAACAGTCGCTCATTTAGCATTTGAAAACAGGTGTAGTGGTTGACCTTGGCTCATTTGATTACTTGGAGCGTGGAGCTGGCTGTGATTTAGTAGTGGGTGTCTTAACGAAGGCTGCTTCCCTGTGTGTGTGTGTTGCATGTAGTGCGCTAGCGACCACTTCTGTAGGTGTGAATTATCGTGAGTGTGTGTGTGTGTGTGGTGTGTGTGTGTGTTCATATGATGGACTGTTAGAATGGCTTGTAATGCTCTGTGTGGTGTGTGTGTGTGTGTGTGTGTGTGTGTGCTGTGTGTGTGTGTGTCTGTCTAAGACAATTATGGACATTTATACAAGACTTTACTAATGTCTATAATAACAATTATATTTATTCTTATTGGAAGAAACTAAATCTTCAATGCTATAAAAGTGGACCATCCATGCTGAATTATCACTTAACTGGTCTCTGTAGGGTCTTTCCATGAAATAGCGTTGTTTAGATGGTTCACATGTCTCAGTACTAAAACGGTATTTGTGTTCGGCGCAGAAGAGGTTTAATAATGATTCCGATACCGTTGACACATTGGTCTTGTTGTCAACGTGCTGACTTAGTTGTCGTCACTCTCTCCTCTCTCTCTCTGTGGACTTATGTATATATATCTATATATATATATATATATATGTATATATTATAATACTATATCGATCATATATTATATATATTTGATCTCTCTCTCTTCTCTCTTCTACCATGTTATAAATAAATGTTCATTATATACTATCAACATATATATGTGTGTGGTATATAAGTAGTTTATTGAATGTTGAACACATGTGTTGCCATACGCGTTATGAGCTATTTGTGATGATGTGTGTGTGTGTGTTATACATGTTTCTAAAAATAGATACATACCTTACCTATATCTACACCACACATTACAGACACCACTAATATGTCATATGGCTATGAACACCTACGTATTTGCTTTGCCTATCTTATCGCCGCTCTCTGAAGTCTTGAACTGAAGCAGAATGACGACATACGTAGCCACAAAACTTAACATCTGTGAAGGTAGAAAATTGTGATTAATTACCATATTATGTTCATGCATTTAAAATGTAAATATCTTGTATTAAAAGTAGAATATAAGTAGAAAGTAGCGTATCTTGTATTAAAAGTAGAATGTAACCCGTATATTGTATTTTCACTTTTTCTTTATTGATAACGTATCATTCAATAATTCTGTTTTACTGGATTATATTACTAAATGATGAATAGTTATATTGATAATGAGAATGTATTCATCACAGTGAAAGAATTTTATTGTTTTTGATACATTACCAAAGTCTGCGTCGGAAAGTAATGATTAAATAACTAGATTAAACGACTAAAAGCAATATATTTTTAAACTTGTTTCATTATCTTTTAATAATAATAAATTCATAACAGACTTAAATATTAAGATACAGCTACTTCCAAAAAATAAAAAAAGAACAAAAGAAAGAAAAGAAAAGAGAAGAAAAGAAAAAAGGGAAATAACGACAAAACTGAAATAACTATAACCCTAGGAACAAAAAGGTAATCTATATCTTGCACAATTCTCCTTATACCGCTTAACACTGATGCGATATGATCTTACGCCTGTCACCCATAATAGGAAAAAAAGAGAGAAAAAAAGAAAAAAAAAGTGGGCTATAGCAACAAGTTCACTTAATTATCTCTCCCCTGCAATGCAAGGTTTTCGACTGACACCTGGTACTTAGATATGACAGGTCGACACGCACCATGTTGTGAGGTAGATCACTTCTCTTAAAGATGCATTTTTTTTCTCTCTCTCTGTCTCATTCTTTCTTTCTTTTTTCATTTATTTTGTCACCGTCGTTTTTTTCTTTTTTTACCATTTCGATTTGTGGGTTTGCTTTCTCTCACTCGCCATTTTGTCTATTTTTTCTGTCTGTCTCTCTATCTCTCTCTCTTCTCCCTCCTTCTGCCCTTCCTCTCCCACCCTCCTCTTCTTCTCTCCCTCCTCCCTCTCCCATCCACTTCTCTTTTTCTTCCTCCTCCTCTCCCACCCACTTCTCTCCTCCCTCCTTCCCCCCCTCCATCTCCCACCCTCCTCTCTCTCTCTCTCTCCTCGAAACTCACCCCGACGAGGTTGTCCCGCGCGAGGGTGAAGAAACCGCACACCCTGAAGGGAGGAGCTTCCTTCAGCAGCGTCAGGAGATCGTCCAACTGCGTCAGTAAACAAAACCTTAAACTAATTAAAGTTCTTTGGATAAATCATGATAACTGTATATTCATGGTATGATACAAGCATTTGTTATATATGTAACACACACACACACACACACACACACATATATATATATATATATATATATATATATATATATATTATCTATGGGGCCAGCTGTGTGGGACGAAAAAAAAATATATATATGTACATATATATATATATATATATATATATATATATATATATATATGTGTGTGTGTGTGTGTGTGTGTGTGTGTGTGTGTGTGTGTGTGTGTGTGTGTGTATAGCATGTAATGTATCATATCACGTTATATGATATATTATATTCATCTCCTCTCTATATGTGCATGCGATTGTAAAAAAAAAAAAAAAAAAAAAAAAAAAAAAAAATGTAGAGCACTAACTTCAAAATACTTTACCTCTTCCTTGAGATTTTCATGGCCGGGCAAGTAGCGTAACTTCATCACAGATTTTCTTAATTCTTCTCTCTGTAATAATACATTTTTTGTGGTATTTCAGTATATTTTCCAGGATCAATTTGACATGGGTGAGAGGAGCGTTCTTACTATACATACATACATGCATAAACACACACACACACACACTTGTATATAATATATATTCACACACAAACCAGTTCTATATCTGTCAAAAAAACATTAGACCATGATGTTTGCTAATCGACGCGTCAGTTTACTTTTGTAAAATAATAATAATAATAATACAATAAAATAATAAAATGATGATGACAATTCTGGTGCGCAATCTATCCGGGAGGCTGTATGAAAGTCATGTCGGGTGATTTTTTTTTTTTCATCTTGGCCACTGACACGACAAGTAGGCCTACATATTAGAGGGAAATGTGTATTTAGCGACAAGTTGCTCCAGGTCTTAAAATCAATGGTATGATGTTTAAAAAGTCTTGGAAAGGTCTTAAATTTTATCAGCTTATACCTGCAAGAACCCTGTGTATACATATGTATATATGTACACACACACACACTCACCTTCGTCTCAAACTTCACTGGAACGTGAGAGAGGAAAGCAACAGGAACAACGGTCATGACAACCTGAACCGTCATCATGACCTGCGCTTCATAAGTGTTAGCTTTGCGACAAAACGCATAGAAAACCCACGTGATGGCGGTAATGGTCGAGTACAACATGACGATAGCCAGTTGACCTGAAAAACAAGCAAGCACTTGGTCTAGATGGTCGT